TCTTTCAGATCTCTGCTCTACTCCTGCCCCCCTCTCTCTCCCTTCACCCTGCTTTATGTTTCTTCATAGCACATATTCCCAGGTGACATATTATGTATCTGTTTGTGTTTCATGCCAATGTCAGTTCTATGAAAACAGCCTTTGTTTTGTTCATCGCCATGTTGCCATCGCCTAGAAGAGAGCTGGGTGTATGTGGTGCTCATTAAGTACCTGTTGAATGAGTGAGTGAACTCCTGCTGCCCATGGAAGGCCAAGCTTAAAGCAGGCGGACAGTAGACCCATGACTGCCAAGTCACTTACACACAGAATCAGTCAACGATGGTTAATGAAGACCTACCGTGTTTTAGTTGTTTGTTTTTTTCCCTTTCCTGATCTGTGCAAGTGAATACATGTTTCCTAAAAGCAAGTGTGGGGAGCATGGAATAGGGGACGGGTTCCAGAGAAAAAGGCATTGTTCCTGCTGGGAGAGCGACTCAATTACTTATCATCAGTTGGAGAAAGGAACAGATATGTACCAGTGAGTGTGCCTTCTGGTTTCAGAAGCTTCATGTTAAGTATAAAGGAATGAAACAGTTGTGGCTGAAGAGCTCAGAGGACAAGGAGTCCCTGTGAGCTGGAGTCCCTGGTACTCAATGGGCAGCGTGTGGGGAGGCCGAGGGAAGGTGGCAGGAGTGGGCCCTGGAGGGGTAGCACTGCCCAAGGACAAGGGCTCCTCCCTGTTGGCATTGGCCTAGAGGCAGAACTGCCGTGGAGTCATGGGGTGAGGCTGGGAGCATAGGTTAGGCCAGATCATGGAGGAGCTTATACTATAGGCATTTAGGTGAGGAGGAAAGTGGGGTAGCAGAGGGTAGGGGTGGGAGGGTGAACTATTCGAAGTCACGAAATGAGGTAGTAATGAGCAAAGCAGATTGTCACCGCAATAAGGCTGTGCACAGATGTGCACAGGTGTATAAGAACATGGGCTGGGTGCCGCCCACAGGCACCTGCTGTATGCAGATGTATACAGGATATCACATGCTGGGTTTGGCTCCTTCCCCAGATTATTTTCTGCAGCTTTGATAAAGGGTGAGTTCCTCTGGCACTCCAGCCAGCCACTCCAAGTCAGCTGGGGGGTGGGGTTTGTTGAGTGGCAGTCTTGTTAATGGGCTTTCTCTACCCAGGTCTATTCTGGTCAATGGCTCTTGGCCAGGCTGACCTCTCTGGCAAAATTTCTTGTGGGCACCTTAGGGCCAAGGATTAAGTGCCACCTGCTGGTGAAGATTGGAATAACATCACCACTGCTGGGGATCATTCATTCATTCATTCATTCAACAAATATTTGGAAGGCCTCCTATATGCCAGGCACTGTGCTGGATGGTGGGGATACAGCAATGGCCAATACAACCTTTGTCTTCATGGAACTTGCTATGTAGTGAGGATTTATTGTCACAACAAAGCAGGGCAGACACAATTCCTGCACTAATGAAATTTACAGTTTACAGGGGA